GAGCATTAATTTGGTGCTTTTGCAAACTATAAAAAATATTCCACCATTCATCATCTTAGTTGGTGAGATTTCTAAATTGAGTCTTATAAACCGAAAAGAAGGAAGTAGTTTCTTTAAAACGTGAGAGAGAGAGCGCCAGTGAGGGAGTTCATAAAAAAAGTAAGAGAAAGGACCTGTGTGTGAGAGGGAGTAAGCATGCGTGTGCAGAGATTCTGAGAGAGAGGCGTGAGGAAAGAGAGCATGCATGTGTCGGGCCCATGCGCACCAGACCGGTGTAGATGTTTGCCTGTTCCCAACGCAGAAGGAGAGAGAAAGAGTTTGGCCGGTCAGCTCTGCCTAAAGCTACTGTCAATGCATGGATGCTTAGATGAGGTGCTAAGCACGTTAAATAGTTTAGCAACTATACTCTCTAATGTATAGGTGCTTAGCTTATGGTTGCTAAGCTTGCTTCATTTAATGATTTAGCAACTAAAGATCTTCATGTATTGGTGGGCTCTTTTCTTTTAGATGTTTTGGCTAGGTTCACGTGCTTAGCATTAGTTCTTCCTGGGGTCACCACACCCATCTCTCTTCTCTTAAATAACTTACCACATCAGATTTTTTGTCTACGTGGAAGGCTTAGCTCCTGTATAAGGTGGAGCATTGGGAGGGGCCTAATGACCCTGACACAGTCAGAAGGTAGTCACATGAAGCACGGATCTTGATGCCAGTAGACGGTGATGATAAAAGTGGATTCCCCTCATCGGCTAGCCGTGAGTGCGCGTGGGTGGTGGCTGGCCCGGCCGTCGTCATCGGCGTCGGAGCCCCGCCCATTCGGTGAGCTTATAAAATGGCTGCTGAGGAGCCCCATTTGTGCAGACTGTGCATCCATCTCAGATCAGAAGCTATCTACCTGGTCAACCAAGAAAGAAGAGCAGCAGAGCCGTGTTTAATCAACCCTGAGCTCCCGTCCGCGTCATCTCATCAAGGTCGACCTATGGCGTTTCTGGGAGGATCATTGCGCGTGACGAAGAGCATTAACAACCGGAAAATGATGAAGGGGAAGAGCCACGGCGGGTCGGGGTTGTAGCGGCAGGCGCCGGCGCCCATGAGGCAGCTCCTCTGGAGGGTGAGGCGTGCTGTGCTGCGGCTGAAGCGCCGCGCCTTGAGTTTTGGGTACGACCTGAAGAGCTACTCCTAGAACTTCGACGACGGCCTCGTCCTTGTCCACCGCTTCTAGCGACACCCGTTTCTTCTTCTTCTTCTTCTTCTTCTTCTCAATTATACTTGCCGCCTGGCCGGAACAAGGCTCGAGGCTGGAGAGTTTGAAGCTTCATCACCTTATGATTTGCTCCTTCTCTAGTTCAGCTACGAGTGTATATTAGACAGTACTGTTCATACACATGTTCATACACAAGTTGCTTACTGTTGGAAGTCTGATAACTGCCAATGAATGACTGTGTATCTACGTGCCTGTATGTAGTCTGCGAGCCGCGTCACTTGCCACAGTGGAATGGGATTTAAACTATTTCTGTTTACGTCACGCAAGAATGCAACTTCTCTCATTTTATTTCTATTTATGCTAGCGAAGATGGTGGGAGCAAACATTTTTTATCAACTATTGTTTTTCAGATCTTTCCATTGTTACAGAATATGTTCACTCCTTGCTAAGGGCATCTCCAGCCATTCGGCCCCCCAGGGCGCCTAAATAGAGCGGCCTGGGGGCGTGCCGGCGCTAGTTCGGCCCCTGGGGGCGACCTAGCTCCCAGTCACGCCCCCAAGCGCCGGCCCCAGGATGCGGGAAATTTTAAACTTGGTCGTTCCCGCTCTCAAAAGACGACAATGCTCGATGGATTCCTACACTCGCGCGGTTGCCGCGTCGGCGTTTTTCCCCTTCTTTGCCAATTTGTGACCGTCCGGCCGCCCCTCTGACGCGCCCGGAGTCGTCGCGTCCGGCTTGTATGTCTCCTTGGCCTTGTCGAGGGTACGTCGGACTTCCGCCCACTTCTCGCACTTGTCAATGCACTTGTAGACATGGAGGTGCTTGAAGTCGGTGTCTTGGTTGTCGCGCCGATACATGGTGAACATACGCAGCAGCTGCGCGGAGGAACAAACAGTTGGCGGGCGGCGGGCGTTGACGACGAAGAGATACGGGCGAACGGCGTGCGTACCTGATCCTCAACGCTGGCGCCGCTCTCCGGGCGAGCCGCGACCTCCTCGACGATTCCATGCCATTTGTTGCACGCCAACTGGATACGCCCCAATGGTTCGCCATCGCCTTGGAGCCGCGCTGCATGTAGACGCCTTTGAAGTACGGGTCGACGAGCTTCCGCTCGTCGAACTCGGCCTTGATGCGGTCCCAATACGTCTCGAAGCTCTGGTTCGTGCCGGTGGTCGGGTCGAGGCAGACGACTTTCCATGCTTCGGCGAGGCATTCCTCCTCCTTGGATGTCCACTTGATGCGCGCTTCGCCTGTCCTAGCCGCCCGCTTCTTCTTCTGGCGCCCCTTCGTCGGATCAGGAGCTGGCTCCTCCTCCTCCTCCTCGTCCTCGTCCTCCTCCTCGGGTTCCTGCGCTTCGTGTGCGTCCTCGCCGTAGACGTAGCCGAGCTCGGCCTCCATGTCGCCGCTGAGATCCACTACCTCGTCCTGGGTGGCGAACCAGGGAGACGCGGCGGCCGCGGTCGATCCTGTCGCGATGATGTCGTCCATGTCGGCTCATGTGTCGTCCGTGTCGCCGAGGTGCGAGAAGGGCAGCGGCCCACGACGGAGATGGGGCGTCGGTGTGGATGCGTAGGCGGCGGGCGGCGAGTAGTTGTATGGAGGGTACTACACGCCGACGAAGGCGGGCGAGGGTGTGCGCGTCGCGGGGTGGCCATGGGGAAAGGTCACGTTTGGGTTGAACCCCCCGTGCGCGTTGCCATCGGCGTAGCCGGGCGACGACGATCCCCATGGAGATCCGACGCCTTGCTGTCCCCAGGGCGCGTACTGGGCGTGGCTGACGACGGGTGGATTCATCATCCCCGCGTGGTCGACCGATGAGGAAGACGCTGCCGCACGCGCCATGTTATCACGGGCCTTCTTGGCAATGGCCCTGTTCCGCCGGTCGGTGGTGACTGCGTCGCGTCGCTGAACTTCCACCCTCCACTAGCCGTTCGACATTCCCGGTGGCTTCGATGGCGGCGCCCTCGGCTTCCTCTGCTTCGGCTGGGCCACGGTGCCAGTCGTGGTTGCCGCCGCGCGCGGCATGGCGTACTTCTTCGACGGCATGGCGGCGACTGGAAGACGAGCTGGAGGGGGTTTGGCAGGAGAGAGGGAGGGAATGGCGGGAGGAAGGTGAGCGAGCGGAGGAGATGCGAGGGAAAAGCGTCAAGAAGCGGCGGGAAAAGGCCCTCGGGTCGCCGCCAGGGCGGGCCCACGCGCCTTTTTCACTTGTGCCGGCTCCCCAAGCGCCCCCCAGGGCGCCGGGTTCGGCATGGGTCCGCCGGCACCAGTTTTGGCCCGAGCCGGCGAAAAACGGGCTTCTGGGGGCGCGACTGGGCCGTTTTTTGGCGCTGGCGCGGCAAAATCGCCTGGGGAGGGCCTGTTGGGGGCGCGGCTGGAGATGCCCTAAGGAGGCTGGAAGACAGGTCATCATAGATCATTTTTTGAACACTAGGGGGTTGGGGGGAGGGGGGGCATCTCGACTTAAATTTAGTCTCATTCAAAGAAAATATGCATCCAGTTTATAAGGGAACCAGCTCAAAAATCTGAACAAGTTGACCCCGTTTATGAGGAAAACTGGGCAAAAAACTGTACAGGCAACACCCGGACAAAGTACACCTAACTAGTAGACGGAAGGGCCACCGCCATGAAAGTCACTCGTAGATGTGAGGTGTCATCTAGGATCACAATGCTAGAATTTTGCAAGCAGGCTAACACATCGCGCATGTGTGCATACCGAGCCCCATGGCACAACTCAGGAGCGTCCACAGCCAACAAGTGCCACCAAATACGAAATGTTTAGCAAGTTGGGGAGGCATCTCGCGCCATCTATGAGCAAAGATGAACTAAGACATCACCGAGAGCACGGAGCTTGCCGCAACACATCGACAAACATGGGAGGGTCTTGAGCCTGCACAACAACATGGGCGAGACACCTTCACGAGGGGGAAATAGATGACCGCCCTGCGGCGCCAAAGGCACCGCCGCCAAACCAAAAAGAAAACCACTGAACAACCACCATCAACCCCAAGCCGGCCGCACCACCACCACCATCAAACCAACACCGGTTCCTCCAGTTGATCCCTACTCCAAAAGTGAACTCCTCCATGGCTCATCATTATCCGTGCAATGTTGTTTACATTGTTTAAGTCAGGAAAGGATCATGAGTTCTCCAAGACTGTTTGGTGTGTTCGGTGCAATGACGTTTAGTGGTTTTCCAAGTCGTCCTTGTTCCATTCTTGTTCGATAGTCTCGGCAGCTTCTTGTTAGGTGTGGCGGTTTTTGTGGCCTTCGCTATCTTTTTAATTGCCGTATTTCTTTAACCTTCTTATATTTCTTCGCTAGGTCTGTACAAAAGTTGAAAGTGCTAAGTCTGCACAAAAGTTGAAAGTACTTACTGTTTGTAGCTGTATATTGGGGCGAATTTGAAGCTGGCACCGTATCCTAATACTTAACTGAACAATAGATATATGGGGCACAACCGTCGTACGTGTAACGCATCTTGATGTAGTCATCGTCTTTTTTCTTCTACTCCTTTTGTTTCTTTTATGATGAAGATTTGTCCCAAAGACTACACCTTTGTGATCGGATATGAGTCGTCATTAAACACAACCACATGGCTCCAACGTAGCTTTATTAGCACATAAAGAGTACTGCCTACGTGCTAATCTTTCAGGTAATGTGGACGGCCACAACGGCATTGGGGGATATCCGAAGCTGAGCAAGCATGCGATGGATGCCTCAAGCGAAATTAGTACTATTGTTCGTGGTACTACTATGCAACTGCCTATGTCGACACAACACGAGGCCTGCACCGACCATGCCGTACCCTCTCTTTTATGGGAGAGATGCCATTGCCGATGCCGCGTCGGTCTTTGACTGTAGGTGTGTAGTGTAGGGTACTAGGGTGACCGGTGGCAACGGGAAAAGATGTTCCAAATGTGATTTTGCCATGGCCTAGTCGATAATCGTTGTGTAAAGTGGATTCCCCTCATCAGCTAGCCGCGAGTGCGCGTGGGTGGTGGCGGGCCCGGCCGTCGTCGGCGGCGTTGGAGCCCCGTCCATTCAGCGAGCTTATAAAACGGCTGCTGAGGATTCCCATTTGTGCAGATTGTGCGTGTCCATCTTAGACCAGAAGCTCCCATCCACCTGATCAACCAAGAAAGAAGAGCACTAGAGCCGTGTTTAATCAACCGTGAGCTCCCGTCCGCATCATCTCATCAAGGTCGACCGATGGCGTTTCTGGGAGGATCATTGGGCGTGACAAGGAGTATCGACAGCCGGAAGATGATGGAGGGGAAGAGCCACGGCAGGTCCGGGACGTGGCGGCAAGCGCCGGTGCCCGTGAGGCAGCTGTTCTGGAGGCTGAGGCGCGCTATGCTGAGGCCGAAGCGCCACGCCGTGAGCTTCGGGTACGACCTCAAGAGCTACTCCCGTAACTTTGATGACGGCCTCGTCCCTGCTCACCGCCTGTAGCTGACACCCGCGGGGTCTTTTTCTTCTTCTTCTTCTTCTTCTTCTTCTCAATTTTACTTGCCGCCCGGCCGGACCATGGCTCGAGGTTGAAGAGTTTGAAGGGTCGTCACCTTGTGATTTGCTCCTCCTCTAGTTCAGCTACGAGTGTATATTAGACATTACTGTTCATACACAAGTTGTTTAGTGTTAAAGTATGAAACTGCCAATGAAATGACAGCGTATCTATGTGCTTCTGTGTACTCTGCAAGCCGTGTCACTTGCCACGGTGGAATGTGGGATTTAAACTATTTGTGTTTATGTCGGGCAAGAATACACTCTCTCGCTACTGCTGTCATTTTTATTTCTGTTTATGTTAGCGAAGATGGTGGAAGCAAATATTTTTATCGACTATTGTTTTTCAGAACTAACAATTGTTACATAATATGTTCACTCCTTAGCCAGGAGGTTGGAAGACAGGTCATCATAGATTATTTTTGTCTCATTCAAAGAAAATATTGATCCGATTTATAAGGCAAACTGGATAAAAAATCTGAACAAGTTAACCCTGTTTATGAGAGAAACCAGACCAAAAATTGTACATGCAACGCTCGGACAAAGTACTCCTAACACAATGCCAGAACTTTGCAAGCAGCCTTACACACCGCACAGGCTTGCGTACCGAGTCCCATGACATAACTCAGGAGCGTCCACAGTTAACGAGGGCCACCGGACATGAAACTTGGCTGGGAGATCCTCCACGGCAATTCAAAATGATTAGCAAGTTGGGGAGCCATCTCGCGCCATCTATGAGCAAAGATTAAGCAAGACATCACCAAGAGCACGGAGCTCGCCGTAACACATCGGCAGACATGGGAAGGTCTTGAACCTGCACAACAACAGGGGCGAGACACATTCACGAGGGGGAAACAGATGGCTGCCCTGCGGCGCCAAAGGCACCGCCGCCGAACCGAAAAGGAAACCACTGAACAACCACCATCGACCCCGAGCCGGCCGCAGCACCACCACCATCAAACCAACTCCTGTCCCTCCGGCTGACCCTACTCCAAAAATGATGCCCACAAGAGGAGGACAGCGCAAGGCGTTGCCATCGTTCGGTCGGAGAGAGCACGGATATGAGGTTTCCCTCGGATCAAGGGACGACAGGGGAGAGGAGCACATCACCATAGTAGCACCCTCAAGAAGGTAGCGACGCCCACCACTACCACCGTTGTCGCCTCCGACCATAGGCAGAGACAGACTTTCGCCTGATATTGTCTCCTACGCCTCTGAGCAGACCAGCCGGTAAGCCACGTCCACCGGTCCCCACCAAGGCCAGCCGCCACGTCTATTGTGCACATCCTAGCTCCCAGCGGAGAACCACCACCTTGCTGCTGAGCAGCAGTCACCTCTGCACCATGAACTCCAGATCAGAGCAGCGTTGTGCCTGGAGCCCTGTCTCAAGCAACATGGCCAGGAACGACCGCGCATAGCCAGTCCTGCTAGCATGCACCACATGGCAAGCCGCAGGACGAGCGGCAGATAATCCCTCACTGCTGCCCAGCTAGATCCGGGCCAGACTGACAGGCCCAAAGTCTCGCTTTCTAACGGTGGACACACACGGGACTCGGATCTTGAGTCGTCGGAGAAGAATCAGCAGCAGGAAATCAACCAGAGAAAGGATGCACACCAGGTACTCGATGGTTTCCCCCCAGCACTAACTTTGTGCTGAGTTCGTTTTTGTTATTTTTTGGTTTATGACTGAAGTGAGGAGAAGCTACACACTGCTCTCTCCTTTACAGCCTCACGCTCACTGCGTGTGTTCAGGTCGTGCAGTACAGCACGACACTATCAGCTTGCCCATGCCTGCTATACGTGTGCAGAGCATGTCAACAGTGCCCAGGACATGAGCTACACCTATGCTACATGCCATGCTTTATTTGTTACAGTTTTACACAAGTGAAAACCCCAAGCTAAATTACAGAGGACAAGAATAACTCGATGTCACAGACGCCCACGCCCATCAACATTTCTAGCAAAGCCCGGCACCATAGCGTGCGGCACCACGCGCCCACTGCACCACCACGACCGGCAGAGACACCGCCCACCAGAGGAGCCCGTGTGAACCCACCAGCATCGACCAAAGGCATCGAGCAGCCATAGGGCACTTCAATGCCGACCTCCATATCCAGTGAAGACCCCCATGGATTCAGGACACAGCTTGCCCAAGCTCTTGCAGCAGCGCACCACCAAGCAGCAACACCGCCGCAGCTGCAGTCCCCCGTTCAGCTGACGGAGCCGTTGCCGCACCCTATTCCGTTGTCACCGCCCACGTGCGGACCAACAGGATCACTGAAGCGACGACCCATGCCCGCAACCACCGCGCCATCGACCACCACCGCAGAGCTTGGCGACGCACACCGGGGAAGCGTCGTGTCATCGGCAATCACCCGAGCTCCTGCTCGAGGGGTGGTGCCGTGTTGAGAGCCGCCGGCCCCCGTCACCAGATCTGAGCGGGTTTTTCCCGGGGGATGCAGTAGGCGGCGGTGCGGGAGGAGAAGCCGGGAGGGAGGAGATTGTACCGGGAGGATTCAGCGCTGCCTGAGTCGCCTTGGGGGAGGTACAGACCCCCTTCAAAGTTCAAAACAATAATATTTATCCAAGTTATCACAGATCACGTATGACTTGGATATATGCACCACCATCCCATGCATACTACCAACAACGCCCGTCCTTCATGTGATGTGTTGATTACCCAATTGGATTATGCTGGTGGGAAGCTTCCTATAGATATATCGGTTCAAACACTATTGCTTTGTCTTTAACTATCCGCTTTTCACACGAGGTTAGAAAGACGTCGGAAAGTTGGTCTAAGTAGATAGAGTAGATACAAAGGGCAATCGTGTGCACTCCTTGTGCTATATCCCATATGCCCTGTTACTACCATCACTAGGCTCACAGGTAGAACTAAGGCAAAATCAAAAGCTTGAACGTTTGTTCCCCGCAACCAGAACAACATTAATTTGTCAGTTCATCTTCATTATTGGTGCAATGTTGTTTACATTGTTTATGTCAGGATAGGATCATGAGTTCTCCGAGACTGTTTGGTGTGTTCGGTGCAATAGTGTTCAGTGGTTTTTCAAGTTGGCGTTGTTCCATTCTTGTTCGGTAGTCTCGGCGGCTTCTTGTTAGGTCTGGCTGTTTTTGTGGCCTTTGCTATCTTTTCTATTGTCCTTTTTCTTTGACCTGCTTATATACGAGGATTTCTTCGCTAGGCTTGTACAAAAGTTGAAGGTGGTAAGTCCGTTCAAAAGTTGAAACTACTTACCGTTGGTAGCGCTGTGGCATGGCGTGTGTCGGTGCAATCATGAACTTGAAACCGACACCGTATCCTGAAACTTAACTGAACAACAGATATATGCGGCACGACCGTCGTGCGTGTACAGCGCCACGATGTAGTCATCGTCTTTCTTCTTCTACTCCTTTTGTTCCTTTTCCGGTGATGATTTGTCCCAAAGAACTATATCTTCGTTACCGGATATGAGTTGTCACTAAACACGACCACATGCATGGTTCCAACGTAGTTTTATTAGCACATAAGAGCATTGCCTACGTGCCAATCTGGCCAAAGACTGGGGCACGCACGCGTAGCCAGAAAAGATATCTATGAAGTAGTACCTCACAAGAACAATGAAGTGCTACGTTTTCAATGGGTGGCGAGAAAGTCTCTATGCATGCAGCCATCTGTTCTTGTCTACTTTTATCAGACGAAAAACTACTATACATGGGCCCCTATGAGAGTGTATTGCAATGTATTCCTGCAACAAAATATTTGGTACCTTTATACTACAGGTCAGCATAGAAATCTTGATGCGGAAACGAAGGGCAACAGATGTGCCGGTAGATACCGGTGCGGTTAGAATTTTGCTTTCTATGTCGATTGCTATAGGCATGTACAGAAGCTGAAAATGCTAGGTCTGTACAAAAGCCTGCTACCTCAGCTTAACTGAACGATGGATAATGGATAAATGGGCCATGACCGTCGTGTGTGTAAAGCGTCACGATATAGCCATCATCTTTCTTCTTCTGCTCCCTTTGTTTCTTTCTGATGAAGATTTGTCCCAAAGAACTATATCTTCATGATCGGATATACAAGGAGGCGTCACTAAGCAAGAGCACATGGTTCCAACATAGCTTTATTAACACATAAAGAGTATTTGCCTACGTGCCAATCTTTCTAGTAATGTGGACGGCCAAATTAAAGTCGGGCAATATCCGAACCTGAGCACCAGCAAGCGATCGAGTGCTTCTTCTCTTGGGACCGTTTGATATAGCACTGGTGGCAAGCACCAACACTTGTGGATGGATGCCTCAAGCGAAATTACTTTTGAGTATGCAACTGCCTGTGTCGACACGGTACCAGGCCTCCACCAACCCCTCGCTCTTTGGATGTTACCCTCCCTTTGGGCCACGCAGATTCCGCGTTGGACTTTGACTGTAGGGTGTGTAGTTTAGGGTGGCAACGGCAAAAGATGCCCGAAATGTGATTTTTCCATGGGCTAATCCTTGTGTAAAGTGGATTTTTCTCGTCAGCTAGCTGTGAGTGCGCGTGGGTGGTGACAGGCCCGGCCGTCGTTGATGTCGGCATCGGAGCCTCGTCCATTCGGCGAGCTTATAAAACGGCTGCTGAGGAGCCCCATTTGTGCCTCAGATCAGGAGCAACCTAATCAAGAAAGAAGAGCAGCAGAGCCGTGTTTAATCACTCATCAAGGACCGATGGCCTTTCTGGGAGGAACATTGCGCGTGACGAGAAGCATTGGCGGCCGGAAGATGACGAAAGGGATGAGCCACGGCTGGTCGGAGTCGCGGCGGCAGGCACCAGCTCCCGTGAGGCAGCTCTACTGGAGGGTGAAGTGTGCCGTGCTGCGGCCGAAGCGCCATGCCGTGAGTTTTGGGTACGATCTCAAGAGCTACTCCCAGAACTTCGACGATGGCCTCGTCCCTACCCACCGCCTCTAGCTAGC